AAATCAGCAGGTGTGGCTCCACAAGAACAAATAAATCCAGAAACACTGCACATTTTCTCCCCAAATATTAAATTTCATTATAAATTTTCCTTCAATAAATATTAAGAGCAAACATCTTGTGAATCAAATGATTTGCACTTTCCTGCATTCTTATAACCGTACAGGCATACAGATTCCATCCTTAGCATAGTGAGGGAGACATTTTTTTTACCCAGAAAACCGACACTATACATTGTTTAGCAACATGAATAAAGGTAACTCCCTCATATTTTTTTATTCACAGGACAAGGCCAGCCCATGGCTTCTTATTTCATTAATCCAATTGTCAAAGATGCTCAAAGAACTTAAACGTCAATACGTCTCCTGTCTTATCAGTTTTACCAATAGCCATTCCAGCTACTAAAATGATCTAGTCACAAAATATCAGATTAATGTACACTTGTTTGTTCTCATTGCTTCACACAGATAGATCGCTGAATGTCTAAAACGTCACTATGAAATCAACATACAATTACTTCTAAGATCTATTGCATATGACACAAGTGCACGTACACAAGTGCACGTAAAAAAAAAAAAATTGAGGAAAGGGGTTTATGCCAGTTCCAGATTACTTCAAATCCTACCACAAGATAGGTATTGAAGACATTGAATTTAACAAATCATCTAAGAATTATAGCCTAAAGCACTAAAATATATTACTACAGGAAGTTCTAGCTGTTCAAAAGCGAAATACCTGTAATAGACCAAAAATTAAAAAAAAAAACAGAAAAAAAAATTATTTGGGCAAAATTTTATTTTAGACAGAAAATGTTGGGGGAAGAGATAACCGATTAGAGAGATCCGAAGCAAAGCTTAGAACAAAAGCGTACAAAATAAGAAATTACAGTAAACACAAAAAATATTAATATTTAACGTGGAAAAACACGAGAAAAAGAAAAAATCATGAAGCCACATTACACCAGGAAAATCCATTATGAAAAATGAGGGGAATTATATAAATGACACCAAACTTAAGCCTCTCTACACTTTGGAACACAAGAACACTCATTTTCTTCTTCCTCACACAGAAGAACTTTGAAATCCAACACCTCTTCTCACACAGATCTTACAACGAAGACTTAATTTTAAGCCTCAAACTGCCCCAATGCAGTTACTGGTGATGGGTGTTGTAACAGCCGCTCCTGGCGTTGACCTCCGAGTGTTGAGGTATCAAGCACTCTATTTTTTGCCCTATACCCCCTGAGCAAATTCACGTCAAGCTTGACTGACGAAGCTGAGAGATTTCAGTGACCAACTGATCAATAAAGTCAATACTCCACATCATAACGAAAAAAAAAAAAGCATGGTCTAAAGGCAAAAATAATTTATACGTTTAGAGTAGGGAATGTTCCCTTGATACAGCATTTATGGGCATTATTGCTCCCAAGGTCTCGGCTCAAAAACTCTTCTCTCTAGAACCATAGCAGTCAGTTGGAATAGATGTGTAACCCACGCTCATAGGAAAAAGTAACGGTGAGGAAAAAACTGGATTTTGGAATGGATAGGAAGAAGAAGGCTGGAGCAGAAAAACATAGAAGAAAATTTTGCTCAATTTTCCTCACCCCACATACAAAAATCTTGTCAATCACCTTTCTCCAGTAATATTTGCGCATAAAAGGAATATGCTAACTATAAATTCCAAATGGAATTGGACTCATTCAATTTCCTTTTCCTTTTTTCTTTTGACATTAACTTACAAACCTAGTACATGCACGTCAAGTAATTGAAAGAGTTATTAGATGTAAAACAAAGTTAATACCTTGTGACGTTTTTTATTATTATTTTTTAAAAATTGAAATTACAATAATGAAAATAGCATCTCTCACTAGTGATTAAAATTTAAACAATAATAATAGTTTGTGTGTTTGTGCATGTGTGGCCATCAAAATATGTAGATGGATATCATGAGCATATGCTTAGTAATGATTCACAAAATTGAAGATTAATAATGGAATAAAATTTTTTGAACCAAATATTTTATCAAACATTTGTAAACACACATGCAAACTATGCCAACACTTAAACTTAAATTAGCCCAGAATCCCATAACCACAATAACAATGTTACTCTCAGTTAGGTAGTTAGGTTAATACTAGAAGGGTTCAAGTTACAGCATAAACCATATGGAAGTAGCACCTTTGAATCATTTGAACACAACATATAGCACAATACCCTTTGAGCTCAACCTAATAGCTAAATTCAATATGATGTGGCAATTAGGTTGAGCATAGATGTTAATGTGTCCAAGATATTAATTTTTGTAGGGTTAACCATTGAGCATCATCATTTGAACACTTTGGGAATTCATTCAAGTCAGGGTAACCGAGGATAAAGGTTACAGGGCTTTGGGCTATACTTAGTAGCTTTCATAACTATCAAGATTATAGAAGCGATATCTAAGAAAATTAAGCCAAAAGCACTCCCATTATCAATAAAAGAATTTAATTCTCACACACACACATATTATCAATATATATATATATATATATATATATTGTTGATAGAATTTTTTCTTAATTTAAATTTTTTATTTTTTAAAAGTTAAATACCGTTTTTTTAGTTTTTAAAATCTTATAAAAAGGGATTTATGGTTAGCAAACGCACATCTTATAAAGTAATAAAAAGGAACAAGGAAAATAGATGTAGAAAAGCCTATTTGGGATTTATGGTGAGCAAACACACATCTTATAAAGTAATAAAAAAGGAACCAGAAAATAAATGGTCCAAAGTCTACTTGGGATTTATGGTTAGCATATTCCTTTATCCAACTAATACAGCAGTATTGTGGAAGACAAGAAAATGTCAAAGTTTCTTTTATGCATAAGCCGACTGGAGAGAACTTAGTAAATTATTCTTCTTGGTTACGTAAGCCTCAGCTTATTCATCTCCTTCGTACCAAAACATTGGTATTTTTTGTACTACTGTGTTCATTGATCTATGTTAGTTTACATTTAGATTTCAACCAACTATTCCATGGTGTAATAGAGGAAAATACATCATAAGTTACCTTAGGAGTAACAATGACAATGAATCTTGCACGAATGAAACATTCTCTACTCTAAGAACAAAAGCTATTCTCATCTCTGATCAGCCTTAGTTTTTGTTAACTATAGCATTTTTCTTCGTTTCACAATGATTTGTGCAAAATTTATTTAATTTTTCTAATAATTTATAAAAATAATTCAATATTTGTCAATAATGACTTCTGTCTCTCTCCACCCCACCCCACTTTGCCTAGTCCAGTGAAGTAGAGAACATGTAGAGGAGAATATTTACCCATTCAGATTCACGAAGGGGTGGAAAAACTACTCATGCATTGGCTTAGTACAAACCTAATCACGAGCAATGTAAAAAAGGAAAATGGAGCCAATAAAGTTAAATACCATTTTTTAGTTTTTTAAATCTTATAACTAGGGATTTATGGTTAGCAAACACACATCTTATGAAGCAATAAAAAAGGAACAAGGAAAATAAATGGACAAAAGCCTATTTGGGATTTATGGTTAGCATATTCCTTTATCCAACTATTACAACACTATTATGGAAGACATGAAAATGTTTTTTCAAACCTTATAACAAGGAATTTATGGTTAGCAGATGCACATCTTATAAAGTAATAAAAAAGGAGCAAGGAAAATAAATGGTCAAAAGAATATTTGGGATTTAAGGTTAGCATATTCCTTTATCCATCTATTACAGCACTATTATGGAAGACAGGAAAAAGTTAAAATTTCTTTTATGCCTAAGCCGACTGAAGAGAACTAAGTAAATTATTCTTCTTGGTTACCTAAACCTCAGTTTATTCATCCCATTCATACCAAAACATTGGTATTTTTTGTACTACCGTGTTCATTGATCTAGGCTAGTTTACATTTAGATTTCAACCAACTATGCCATGGTGTAATAGAGGAAAATACACCATACGTTACCTTAGGAGTGACAATGACAATGAATCTTGCACGAATGAAACATTCTCTACTCTAAGAACATAAGCTATTCTCATCTCTGATAAGCCTTAGTTTTTGTTAACTCTAGCATTTTTCTTCTTTTCATAATGATTTGTGCAACAATTATTTAATTTTCCTAATAATTTATAAAGATAATTCAATATTTGTCAATAATAACTTCTGTCTCTCTCCATCCCACCCCACTCTGCCTAGTCCAGTGAAGTAGAGAACATGTAGAGGAAAATGGTACCCATTCAAATTCACGAAGAGGTTGAAAAACTACTCATGCCTTGGCTTAGTACAAACCTGATCACGAGCAATGTAAAAAAGGAAAATGGAGCCAATAAAGTTCAAGAAAAGGTTAAAAATCTCCTCGTAGCTTGGCTTAGCATGAAACAAATAGAAGATAATGGTGCACGTTCAAGTTACAAGACGATGCACGAGCAATGCATTCATCAACGTTGAAGCAACGAGAGGTCTTACAAAAAAGAAGGAAAGATTTACAGTACATGAGGTTCAGTAGGGGGCAAAAAAAGAACATGTGGTTACGCAGATTTATCACTTCAAAATCTACTCTGAAGAGGGAGCTGAATGTATTCCACAAGGATTCAACTAAACTGACCCAAAATTTTCTGTTAAAGCGGAGGTCTCCCTCTGGTTATCCAATGAAAATCCTTCCTTGTACTTGCAATGTGTAGTTTCCCTCCGCTTCCCTCCCCTTTCCCCTTCTCCAAACATCAACAACTATTAATTTCAAGTCTGGTTTCTCCAAAAACCACCGCCTTAAGGACTGTCTTTCTAAATACTACTTACATAAATATTGCTTGTTCGATGATGTTGTTTTATCAAATATAGTTCGTTTAAGTTCTAAATTCAACGCCATCTACATGCAAAGAAAACCCTAAAGCAGACGTTTAAAGTTCTCTCGACCAATAAAATCCCCTAAAACCCATCATCAAAACCATATCAAAACTCCCAGAGCCTCTCATCAAAAACCATAACCAGATTAAAAACCTGAAGATTATTCTCCTTGATGTAGGCCCAAATCTGCTTCAAGGCTTGTGTCCTCGGGATCTCCTTGACTCCAAGGAAAGCCTGCATTGCCGGCGACACAGGCTTGGGCTTCGTGATTCCCCTCGCCGGCCTCCTCGGCCCCGTATCCTCGGAGATAACAATGGTCTTCGTTGATGCCGACGCGCGATAGGAAAGCGTATCTTTCTTTGTTCCATAGTTTGATTCAGCTCCCACCTCGGCAACTGGCTCGCGGAGGCGAATCGAGCCGCACGGGAACCCACCGCCGCCTCCCCATATATGAAGGAACTAGAGCTTCCGAGAGAGATAAGCGCGGACATGATCAGAGGTTCGCCGCCGACGACGACAGCGGGAGGATGAGGGTTATGATATCTTCGTAAGTGAGAAGTGAAATGTGTGGAACTTTACAATATCCGCTTCTTTTCAGAAAACTGGGATTTGATCTATCTACGGTCCCGATGAGAGAGGCTCGGATGAGCGGTCATGATTTCGAGGAGCTCAGGAAGCTAATGCGGTCTGGCTGACCAACAAATTTTTTTTGGGTGAAATTTTTTAAATTATTATTTTCGGTTACAAATTTTATTGGTATCCCAAAATGAGTTAATAGTTTATACTTCATACTTACATACACTCATTTGTAATCTTAGAATGAGTACTGAGTATGAGAGAGTAGAATTGTTAATGATATTATTCGAGTTATTTGCTAAAATGAAAGCAAGTCTATACAACAAAAAGACAAGCATGAAACTCAAAAGAGAATGAACGATCAAGATGAAAGAACCTTCTTTCAAGGTAAATAATGAATCGATGATTCAATGCCGAGCATAGAGCTGTGTTTCTAAATGTTGGATAGGTTCAAGCTCTAGAGCTGATTACCTGCTTGGTAGCTGTAAGACCTACCAAAAATAAGGCGTAAATCATCTCGTTATGAGTCTCGTCGGATACCCCTCATTGGATGCGATAAGATCCGTCTAAGACCTTGCAAGATTAGGAGATTCGGTCGAGACGACAAACCAACTAGGCATGTGAGATACAAGTCCTGTAAGACTCAAGTCAAACAGAAAATGAGCCACGATTCACTCAACAAAAAAAAACAAACAAACTGATCACGTTTGACCGACCAGCCCTTCGTCCGGACCGAACGACCACCTCACAACCAACTACTTTGGTCGACCATGTCAAAAGACACCGAGCAAAATCTCCATGCAGACAAATAGCTCGACCGATCAACCCGTACTTCAGAGGGCACATACGTCACTTGATCGGTTGCCTCAGTCGGTTGACTTCAAGCTAACAGACTAGTCAATTACCGCAAATGTTTAAATTCAAATTTTAACGTAAATACTATGTAAAATCTATGCAATCAATTTGAGTCTTAATGATATTAAAAATGATTTTCATAACTGCTCTCTTTTTTCTGTAATTGTACAAAACATGCTTTTATAAATACTAAGCAACAATACAAATGAAGGGACCTCCCATCGATTCTACCCACAAAAATTTCAGACTTATACTATTATCATTTTTTTCTCTCTTTCACTCGACTCTAACTCTCAGGGCGTGATTCACAAAAGAGGAATTAGAATCCAACATATAGATTTTTTTAACGGTAGCAAATTGGAAATTGAAAAACCATTAGAAATTATTATAGTTTCTTTGATATCAATCGATAAACAATTTAAATAATTTGTGCCCAAGAGAAGGATCGAGAAGCTTAATTAAATGCTCAATTATTCAAACTTTCATCACTAATTCTTAAGACCTTTAAAATGAATAGTGACAATTTTTATTTAAAATATAGCAAGTAAACTTATAAATTTGTTTATATTATTATTGGCATTTGAAGGCCCACAAAACTTTCATATAACATTAAGAAATTTAATTAAAAAATTAAAAACTTTACTTCATGTTATTAATATGTTTCAAGTTAGAGCCTCATAAGATAAGTAAATAAACAAGTTTGAATTAACTCTTAAAACTAGCTTCCTATTTATATTTTATATACATATTAAATAGAATGATAATAAATAATAGGAAGACTTGCACACATTTTACCCATACAAAAAGAAATGTATTTCACTTAATATATACATATTTGATAATGTTCTTGAATGATCTTGAGCTCGTTGTATTCATCTTATTGATACGCTCAATTTGAGCATAAACTTGTCAAATTTAAAATCTGTTTGACATTCCAATTAGATATTAAATTTTCTAAAAATGGGCTAACGACTAAATCTATGCTTGATTTGGCTTGACTTAAGTAAATATTGATTTCATTCAATTTATCTTATTGAGTCTTATAAGTTTACTGAAATTAAAATTTCATATGGTTATTAATTGAAGTCAGTATATTTTATTGCTCAAAAGAATTATCCTCAATTTCATGTCACTTCTCAAGATCCATCTTGGATGATAAAAAATTATTGATTAAGTATTTTTTTTTAAATATTAAAGTTTTGGTTTTATAAATATAAATTTAAAATTAAGGTGTCATATATCTAAACATATAAAAATTGGGTCTTATGAATATAAATGCTCTTAAATAATATATTTTTTAAAACTATATATAAATGTCAACAAAAGTAGAAAAAAGAAAAATGCTCCAACGGTCATGAGACGCGCGAATAAACCACAAATTATGACCGTTACTTCAGCAGCTACAATCGCCGCCGTTCATCCTCAGCGGTCCCCACTTCCTTCAGGCACAAAAACACTGTAGCCTTCTGTGCACCAAACGCGCCCACCGGCGTGATTGCGGCGATCCATCGCCGACACGGAGTTGTCGCTACACGAACGGTCACACCGTCCAGAGAAAGATACACCAACGCATCTCTGTCATCCTTCCTCTCGCTTTCCGCATAGAGGCGACGTACAATCCTACAGCTTATATGCGGGCCCCGCATCTTTCTCCTAGATTGTCACCCCACCCTATCCCCATCAACGGCAAGACATTGAAGGACGACGTGGAATCATATTTAAAGCTGGTCGAACAATTGGTCTTATTGTGGGTTCTTTTTAATTTCTCATAGTAGTTAGTGTTAAGATCGATTTCATAAGAGAATGGTCCAAACTGCTTAATTCCTCTCTTTTCTTTTGGTGAAACGTTCTTTTTTTTAAGCACCGGTGCTATTTTTAAGATACTTATTTTAGCCCCAATAACTTTGTAAAAATCAATAAAATATGAATTTTTGCTTTTGTTTTATATATTATAAATAATGTTCAAAGCTTTTCATTTAAAACTCTAAATTTTATTCAATATTTCTTTACATAAAACTAGATCATACATTTAGAGCTCATTTGGGGAGGCGGTGCGACACCGCTTCACAGTTTTGTTTGTTTGTTTGTTTGGATAAACTGAATTCGTGCCATAGAGCTTCAGTTACATTGTGAAGAATGAACAACAACAAGATAACATACAAATTTCAGTCATACACGGAGTCAAGTTTTAGGGTTTTAGGGTTTAGAGTTTAGGGTGAGGTGACAGTCTTATAGTTGCGGTTTGCATTTTTCAAAAAAAAAAAAAAAAATTATAACAGTTAATGCAAATTTTCAAACATAAGATTATTTGTGAAGCTATTTTTTAATAAATTGCAACTGCCTTGAAAAAAACCATCAGTTTAACATTAAAATGAATTTTCTTTCTAAACATCTAAAGTTATCACATAAAGACCACACAAATCTTAGGTTTTTGCAAATCCACACCTAAAATTTCATATTTATTTAGGAAACACTCAAATCTTTAACTCCACATAAAAAACATTGTCATTACTAATTTCTTAAAAGTAAAATATATATTTTTTCATCATAAATTTATAAGACCAACATTTTATCAGCATAAATATCAAATTTAGAAGTGTAAGACATGTAAATACACAAGAATTATGTTACATGCATGCAAATTTCCCTCTTTTAAATCAATGATTGAACTAAAGTAGCTTTAAATTTAATCCCACCTAAATAATCTCAAACATAACATGCATAATATATAGAAAGATGTAAGGCTTCTTTTTGTTTCTATTTTTATTCTCTGATTTTTCTCTAAGGAAATAATCGTTTTATCTACAATTCCTATTTTAATTGTTTTAAAAAAGAAAACTATGATAAATATTCGGACTAAAAAATTTCCCCCAAAAAATGGTGGGTGGCCCCACAATCCACTCACTTTGCGGGCCAGACCCGAGCCCAGCTCTCACCGCCAGCCCGAGCCAGATGTGCCCATGTGAAACCGGGCCCCACCGCCAGCTCTACTCCAGCACCGCACGCTCTTGTCCGCTCGCACGCTCACAACTCTCCCTTTCTATTTATCTCTTACTTTAAACCTCTCACAGTCTCACTCCCCATCACTCTTCTCTCACAAATGGATCTCCGGGCTCTCTTCTTCCTCTCACTCCTCTCCATCGCCGCCGCCCAAGCCCCCTCATCCTCCCCTCCCGCCGCCGCCCAAGCCCCCTCATCCTCCCCTCCCGCCGCCGCCCAAGCCCCCTCATCCTCCCCTCCCGCCGCCGCCCAAGCCCCCTCATCCTCCCCTCCCGCCGCCGCCCAAGCCCCCTCATCCTCCCCTCCCGCCGCCGCCCAAGCCCCCTCATCCTCCCCTCCCGCCGCCGCCCAAGCCCCCTCATCCTCCCCTCCCGCCGCCGCCCAAGCCCCCTCATCCTCCCCTCCCGCCGCCGCCCAAGCCCCCTCATCCTCCCCTCCCGCCGCCGCCCAAGCCCCCTCATCCTCCCCTCCCGCCGCCGCCCAAGCCCGGAGCCGACACTACCCCCGCCGCAGCCGGCTGAAGTGCCGGCCCCTGCTCCGAGCAAGAAGGGAAAGAAGGATAAGAAGAAGAAAGTGGCCGCCGCCCCGACTAAACCATCCCCAATACCCGCCGCCGCACCCGCCTCTCCAACAAAGCCAGTCCAGACCCCCTCGCCGGCCGCCGACACCCCAGCTCTTCCTCCGGCAGTATCCAAATCCTTCTCTTCACCCGCTCCAACTCCTTCAGCAAAGAAGACCATTGCGCCTTCCCTCTCCCCAGACATTCTGTTCTCACTGTTTCATCAAATATAAATAGAAGATTTTTTTCAGGCATCGTCGATGTTGGCTCGAATAAAGTAGAAAATTTATTACCTTATCAAAAGAAACCTAAATTCAAATTTTGATTTAAGAGAACCTTGGATTTATTATTTATTTATTTTTATGTTTAGTTGAATGTAAGTTAAATCTATGATTAAATATTAATATGCTAACAAACATCATTGTCGTAAAAATTCAATTCCGTTGGCGCATTCACCTGTTTCTCAGCCGATTGGTCCGGAGACTGGGCCCAGCGCCGCCGCCGCCGCCGCCTCCGACGAAGCGGTATATCCACTGTCTTCTTCTTTATTTTTCTTCAGTTGTGATTTCTACTTCTCTGTGCTCTAGATGCGTTCAGATCCGAACGTTGCAATTCAAACAGACGGACCGTAGGGACAACGGTCACGTCTCCTCATAGAGCCGTTAGATGATTAGTATTTAATATTAATAAGTTTAGTTGATATGGCGTATAGTTGGGGGGCAAATTATATGCATAACACATGAAATATTGCTATTTACAAATCTATCAACCTATTTCATCCTTAGTTTTTTGCTTATATTTTTTTCATCTGTGAAAACGCAGAACGGTGCAGAGAGGGTGATGTCCGTGAAGAAGATGGTTGGTGGATTTATCTCAACATGGGCCCTCCTTTTTGCCTTGTTCTGCTAGATCGGAAGATGCCATTAAATTAAATATAAATTCGACTATTTTGTATTTCAGTCCTCTCCCCGGCTGTAATTTTTTTCTATTATTATTTTAATATTGTGCTGCTCATTTCTTGTACGGATTGTTAGATGTAAACTCACATTATTTCACTTTGGATTCTTTGCCCCGCACAGGCCTCTGTTTAATATCATTTGTTCTTATTTATTTTGTTTTCTTATTAAAAAGTTGGGGCCTTTACATGCATAGCAATTAATTCTCATGTATTTACATATCTAACACTTAAATTTTAGTTTTTTATATTTATACCACCAAGATCTTTCACATCACATAAAAAAAAAAAAACCAAAGTTCTAAAAAAAAGAAATACACATTGTTCAAGCTTGAATAAGATGTTACATGTATAAATTAAAATTTAGGCGTTAGATATGTAAATACATAAAAATTGAGTGGTATGCATGTAAATTTTCCTTACAAATTTTTACAAAGATACGTGCTTTATCAATAATGTGCGATCAAAGTGCAGCCTTGAGATAGAAGTAAAGTTTGATGCAAATCTTTGGGAGGGGTATAATGTGAAAGAAATGCTTTTGACAACTTTAGTTTGTGCTTTAAGTGCTGCATGAAAGTAGGTATTTTTCATAATATTATTCCCTTGGGACTAAGAAAATGGCAGCCTTGGCTTCTACAGTATGGGGGTAGCAAATTGTATTGTCAAAAATGTTCACTAATTCGCTCTATTTTGGGCAATATATACCTTAGCTTATTGAGACATAGCCAGAGGAGAGATAATGGAGATATCTGAATAGTTAATGGACAAAGTTGATGAATAAAAACATTCCCCAAAGTTCAAGTAAAAGAGGCAATAGATGTTGGCTTATTGAGAGAGACGTAGCAAGAGAGGTAGTGAGAGATACTTGAGGATATGAACAAATTTGACTAAGACAAGACACTCCAAAGTCTAATAATAGCCCAACACCTTCACAAGGGCATCAAAGATGTAAACAGACAACATTGCTGCTCCAATAAAGAGGCGATATGTGCTTAAATATTGAAGGCACGAGAGGTTGAGAGATAGTGAGAGATATATCTTGAATGTTGGGACTAAAAGAAAGGAAACAATGAGCAAAAGGAAAGAGACAACGATTCAAGAACATTATATAAACAAATTTGACCAAGGCAAGACATCATATATGTTGCCCAACATCTTCACAAGAGCACCAAAGATGTAAGTAGACAACATTTGTCCTCCAATAAAGAGGCATCAGGTGCTTAAATATTGGAGAAGCCACTAGGGAGGGAGGGAGGGAGGGTTGAGATACATCTTGAATGCTTGGAGTATAAGAAAGGAAACAATAAAGAAAAGGAGGGAGACAGCGATTCGAGAACATCATATGACTTTTTGAGTTGTTTACAAACATAGCACCTGAACCATTGCTATTTACAAATCTAACACCCGCTTTCATCCATTTTTCAAATTCTCACTCAAATATCAAAATACACAATAAAACACCAACCCTAAATTTTCATTTTTATCAAATTCTCAATGATTTGATCGTAATTTGATCATGACACGCATAAATACATCAATTTAGTAGGGCGCTAAGATTTTATAAATAACAATATTTCGGGGTGCTATGTAAGTAATTGTCCTTTTATTTTCATAGTAGAATCTACTCCATAGTAGATGTAGGGTGAAAAATTGCATATAATGAAATTCCAAACCAAAACTTGAATTTTAAGTATGGAAAGTATAGGAAAGAGGAGGAGGAAATAGAAGCCTAGACAAGCATACAAAAACATTTGTATTTTTAATTGGTTTAGCTAAAAAAAAAAAAAAAGAAAAACATCAAACAAGATAAGTCTACCTCTTCTCTAGCGAAAAGTGATGCTGTACAAAGAAAGAAAATAGAAATTTTAATGAGTTCAATATCAATATTGGCATGATCCCTTTCTAAGCCCATATCTACACATATTAACATGCAAAATTGAACACTCTCTTATTGACTACTGGAGATAGTCGTTAAAATGGCACAAATGAGACATGGGAACTACTTATATCTATGGGCACTAGTGACAATTCTCTGGTTATGTTAACTCAGACAAATAAGTAGACAAAACCTGCCAGTTGCCAGATCATAATGTCTTTTAAGTCGCACGTAGTAATGGCAACCTTTAGGCTATAAGATGTCAAAGCAACTCGGAATGACAAGTAAACAAAATATTGACAGTTCAAAGGCACCGAGTAATGTCTGATAAATTGATTAGTCTCAAGGGAGAACACGATAATAAACAATTTAGTGTTATGTGTTATGTGAATCGATTGAAAGAAAGCCAATATGGAGTTCAAGAGAAGAGAATAAAAAAGGAACAGTTGGAAAGAAAATACAGGAACGGGCAAAAAGAAAGCTGCAGAGCAGGAAATGTCAATGCGGACTTGCAGGCGTGAAGCCACTTCGTATGGATTTTAGCGCTAAGCTGCCAGGTCTAGCTAGCCACATGTACAATTCGAATGAAGTGCCAAAAATAAAGGGACATTTACTAACATACCACACAATTCATATGTATTTACATAACTAACACATAAACATTCATAAAAATTGTGTGGTATGTAAATTTCCTTACAAAAAAGAGGCGTTGCACATTTTAGAATTGCTCCTAGACTAATAGTTTTTCTCAGACTTTAATGTGCTAATCCCTGAGGTAATGCCAATATGGATATATGTTATTTCATTCAAAGTCTTCATCAATGACAAAATCTAAGCGAGTGAACCTCCAAAATTCAAGAAATAAAATAGCAAACACACAAAATACAAGAGTTTAATACAGCTCGACAATTTCCCTCCATCCACAAGTGGCAACAAACTCATTATAAACTTAAAGAGGAGAAATAACAATCAGAACTTCTCTCGAGACCCTCACACATGCTTCAGCAAGTAAGAATTCAATGAATTATTTATGAAATTAGGTGAGAACGTCGAGTTAATATAGGGAAGAGTTCATCTTGAAACATTGATGATCAACTATAATTGAGGATTTTTGTAGGCTCCAGTTAAGACTTTGTGGCAACCTCTATTTCAAATTTCAAGGTGGTCCTCCTCATATGACATCATGGTGTGAAACAAGCAACCATTTTTAACACCTATATCATAGACACGTACAACTCATATACCCCTTGAGACAATGGATCATTTAAAATCTTACATATTTTATTTGAATTAAGTAATACTTTGCTGAGAATGGTAAATCATGTAACAAATCTGTAAGTCCTTCAATAGTAAGCATGGCTAATCATCTTAAAAGAAAAAAAAATTAGAGTTCAATGAAATTCAGTCCCTTCATTGTTTAAATTAATGAGCTTAAAATTATATGATTAAAGTAACTTTTTATGTCATTGTATCAACAACTATATCTATCAAAATTTTCTTAATAGATGGTTAGTCAAGATAAATATTAGTAAATTGTTACAATGACTCACAATTGGCTAAGGCAATGACAAACTCGTAATTTCATACAAGTTATTAAAGATTCATAGAAATTTCAAATTGGTGAACCGGGTCTACTTGGGAGGCCTCATTTTGTTATAAATAAATGAGGGAGGCTTGTAGAGAAGGGTGGATAAAGGGAAAACAAATCAATTGGTTAGAGAAAGAAGAGGAGAAGCTTCAAGAATTGAGGGGGAGGATCTTGGAGATCTTCTGTCGAGGCGATTCAAGAGAGAGATCATAACAAGATGAGAGCTCATCGATCTTGGAGATCTTGTATCGAGGAGATTCGAGAGAGAGATCATGGCAAGATGAAAGCTCATTCCTCAATATAAAAGCCTTATTATTCTTCTTTATTGCCTTAGAAGATTTGATGGTTGATTTCCCTCCCGTGGATGTAGGCTTATGGACCGAACCATTTAATTCTTGGGTGTTCTTGTTTCTTGTTTGCATATTATCTTTGCTGCAGTTTTTCGTTTCTTTTCCCTATTTCCTTGCCTGCTGTTGTTTCACTCTTCTTCAATTGTCAAGGAGATGTTCGACATTTATTGTTTTTTTCCAATTCGGTAGTCCACTTCGTGGTTTACTTCAGTTGTTCGGTAGTCTAGTTCTTGATTTTCTTCAGGTAGCGGTCCTATTTTTTTTTCAACAATTGGCGTCGTATGTGGGAATCCTAGCCACGATAATGGGAACCGCCAAATTTGACTTCAAAAAATTCACCGGAAAGAATGATTTCAGCCTGTAGAGAGTCAAGATGAGAGTTCTATTGGTGCAGAAGGTGTCGCAGAAGCTTTGCAAGGGCCAGCAACATTGTCGACTGAGATGGGCAAGAAAGAGAAAAACGGCATCCGGGACAGGGCCCCTCGGGGCTAGGTGGAGGAAATCCCTATTCAAAATTTTGTAAATGAGAGTCAAGATGAAGAATTGTTACAATGACTCGCAATTTGATAACTAAGGCAATGAAAAGCTTATAATTTCATAGAAGCTTCAAATTGATGAACCGAGTCTACTTGAGAGGCCTCATTTTGTTATAAATAAATGAGGGAGGCTTGTAGAGAAGGGTGAACAAAGGGAAAGCAAATCAATTGGTTAGAGAAAGAATATGAGGCTTCAAGAATTGAGGGGGAGGATCTTGGAGATCTTTTATCGAGGTGATTTGAGAGAGAGATCATGACAAGCTGAGAGCTTGCTCTTAGAAATTTTGCATCGAAGAGATTCGAGAGAGAGATCATGACAAGATGAAAGTTCATTCCTCAATGTAAAAGCTTTGTAATTCTTCTTTATTTGCTTAGTGGATTTCCCTCCCGTGGATATAGGTCCTATGGACCAAACCACATAATTCTTGGGTATTCTTGTTTTTTGTTTGCATATTATCTTTACTGTATTTTTTCGTTTCTTTTTCTTGCTTTCTTGCCTGCTGCGGTTTCACTCTCCTTCGGCTATCAAGGAGGTGTTCGGCATTTGTTGTTTCTTCCTATTCGGCAGTCCAGTTCTTGATTTTCTTCAAATGTTCGACAGTCCAGTTATTGATTTTCTTGAGGTGCCGAGCGATCATATTTTTTCTTCAACATATGTAGTATTTTGGTTGTTGGTGATGATGGCGTTTTAGCGGTAAATAAAAAGAATAATTTTAAATTTTTAAGCAAATAATGTCTTGTAGTGATTATTATTTTTGCAAAATTAATGAATGATTAAAAATTATTAAAACTGGTATAACCTCATTTACAGATGCTTTTTAATGGCAATGAAGAAATTCAATGGTGTGATCTGAGTTTATGATCCTAACTTTGAGATGGAATCTGAGGTTGTCCCTCTCAAGGCCTGATGCAGGGGAAATAATCTGGGAACCATCGATATAATATAATTAATGACAAGTTCTATAACTTATATTCTATTGCATAAGCCATTCTATTAATTTAGATGAATCATAACTCTTCTTTGATGTATATTTAAACCATATAGATGCGTTCATAACTTTTCTTTGATGTATATTTAGACCATGTTGATGTATATTTAAACCATATAGACATTTTAGCGATCATTAATTTAAAGAGTAAAGTGCCAAAATAGTCCCCTACTATTGATGGAGCTGTTTTAATCCCATAGTTTATAGGAGCACCAAAATAGTCTCTGACAGTTTTAAAATTGAGCTCTCCTAGTCCTCCAAGGGGATTATTTTAACCCCAATTTACAGAGTCCAGGACTATTTTGATACTTTTTATAAGGGACTAAAACAATCCCATGAATAGTTGGAGACTATCTTGAATAGTTGGAGACTATTGTAACACTTTACACTTAATTTAAATCAACAATAAAGTTAAACTATATAAATCCATCAATAAATATTTAAAGGGGCAATTATGCACATAGCATCCCAAACATTGCTATTTACAATTCTAGCACCCACTTTTATCCATCTTTCAAATTATCAATCAAATATCAAAATTCGTGATAAAACCCCAACCGATATTTTCCACTTTTATCAAATTCATAATGGTTTAATAGTCACATTCGTAAATACATCTATTTAATAGTTAAAAAATATCACATTGTTGCCAGATTTGGCAAATAACAATGTTTCAGGTGCTATGTATATAATTATCCCTTATTTAAAACAAAAGAATAAAATAAATATAATTGAATTTTAAAAATTACGAGTATGTTTAAATTCATACACTGAAAATTAAATAACAATTTGCTTTATCATAATGACAATTTGATTTTGGTTTCATATTTAGGGTCTGTTTGGGGCAGCTGCAGCTTAATAAATGTTGTTGCGCAGTAGCTGTGGCAAGCAGCTGTCACGCAGAAGTTGACTAATTTTTTGTTTTTTTACAGTTCTGAAGCACAACACAACTGTTTCTGAACAAATGACATTTATGCTCTTGTACTATAGTGTTGTTTATAACAAAACTATTGATGTCAGCACATTCCATACTCGAAATAAAATATCTAGTTTGAATGTTATAAAATAAAAACAGACACATCACAAAATAGTAACACGACAATCAAAATTTTAAAAAATTTATTAAAATAACAATTAATAATATGATAGTATTGTTTTAAAATTGATTTGATTTTTTGTGACCAGATAAGCCGTCCTCCAAGGAAACTCGCCACGCCCGATCACATAAAGAAGTCGCAGCTTTCTGTCTTCTACTACGACACCTGTAAAACTGTCTCTCGCAGCAATATGATTGTCACAAAGCAGGGAACATTGTAGTCCACAATAACAGTACAATGCTCTAGAGGTGTTGAAGGTACCGAAAATCCTCAAGCTCATATTTTTTTTAATGTTTAAAACAACACAACACAAAAGCTTAGATGCAACATTAGTGAAAATGAATAATAAAAGTAATCAATTCAAGTTTTAAGAAACAACGAAATCTCAGAGAACATAATATAAGCTATGTTTGGCGTAGCTGCAGCTGCGGTGCACCAGAAAGCAGAGCTCCCCAGGAAGCTGCTGCGAGGAAGCTAGCTGCATGTTTAGGGCAGCTGTGTGAAAACTGTGAGAAAGTTGTTTCTGTAAAAATAACCATTCTGCCCATATTTTATGATGTTGTGTGTAACAGAACTGTGATAGTCATAAATTTAATACTTTTAAAGCAAAAACTAAAATTATTCGTGCTCTGATATGAAAGATTTGGTTGGTTATAAAAAATTCAAATTGATCCTCATTTTTGACATAAATCCAATTTTAAGTCTCCTCTTCCTCCAATTAATTGAAACCATAATGTGGCATACAACAATAACAACAACAACAACAAGAAAAATGATTTCACAATTCATAATTTACTAGTCATTGATCTTTTCATTTATGCATTATATTATACCACCACAAACCCTCCCTTTTCTTCAGCTAATTCGTATATTGTGCTTTTGTTTCCATCAAATAGACAATGAAATCAAGAGTTAATTAGGTTTCTTCAGAATCTCAGGTTCTTAACATGCCTATAGCAAAATTAAATAAGGTAATAAAAATTGTAATTTATTCAAAAAGTGAAAAAAAACTTCATTTTGAGTAATTAGTACTCATAAAATCCACTCAATTAACAAAACGGTGATAAATTCAAAGAGAAATCAAGAGTTCAGGAAACTTACCATCCTTGACCAAAAGGCATCATTCTTGATAATAAATAGTTGCTTCTTCGTCGTCCAAAGCATGCTCCATGTACGGGAGAGAGATAAGTCGGTCGTCACAGTGCCATCACCGAGCACAGCGAGCTCATCGATGGCACAGATCATTTCTTCTCTCTTCGAGGGTTTGTTTGCGTCTGTAGACCTCTCTCCTCGCTCGATATGAAACACAAGAGATCAGCTTTTGCACGGAGGGAATCGACTGAGGTTATAGTTCGGGAGGGAGAAACTGAGCATAAGGCAGGGGAGAGGCGTCAAACGAACGAAAGAAGGAAGGGGGAAGGAGAAGAGCTTTCTTTGGCTTAACAACCAGAACGGTCGGACCTTCGATCGAAAGGGCAATGGGTAAAAACATAATCTTCGAACGCGAGCCGTAGAATCTATCCAGCAACCCGTTTTTTGCGAAAAAATCCCCTACGGTGGCCGCGACGCTTCTCTGCTGCGCACCCAAACTACACACTTTGAGGGCGGGGTGCCGCGAAGTCCTCCAATCGCGCCTCCAAACGGAGCCATAAACCAACAAATTTTTCACTACAAGAAGACAGCAGATGTTATAAAAAAAAGGTTATTTGTTGCCTTGAAACCACGTAATATTGAGCTATCACGTATCCATATCACCAAAAATAGTCATCCATAAGAGCCTAAGAAGCCATAGTACTGGAAAAAGTAGAAGAATTTGGTTGCATTCATTGAGAATTCACATGAGATAAAAATCAATAGCAACATATAAGTCATCCGGAAGAACCCTTAAAGTCGAATATCTCATCATAGACCTCCAAAATCAAAAAAATAAAACATGTAATATTTAGATTATATATTATAACCACAGTTACCTCATCAGTCATCCAAGTGGGAAAGAATACATGCATGAGATCTAAAAATAAAATTGAGATTGAAATATAGATCATTTGCATAAAACATTGATACAATGAGAGTCCTTTTGACTATTGGGTCATCTGGTTTAAAAATTTCTGATGAGAAACTAACTCGAGCATTCAACCGAATTGAAAAATCTATACTGATTATTTTAGATAGTGTTGAAATTACTCCATGACTCGTCTCATAGATTCATTATGTGATAAAACGTAGAGAGTTGTTGCCAACACCTCTCTAAAAGTCATTCTAGAGGAACCACAACATCAACACACACCGCCAACAACACCAACCCCAACACCAACACACACCATCAGAAGTACCACAAACACCAACATCACCACCAACAGCATCAACCCCATTATCAACACACTCCGCCAACAACATCAACCCCAACATTCTTCCTCCAACAAAGAGGATAAATCACCAACAAGGCCAACGAATGAGTAGAGTATCGAGGCTGTTCCAATTGAACCAACAAAATTAAGGAACGATTACATTCAGGACACCCAAAACATTGATATTACAAATTAAGCACCCTCTTTCATCTATCGTTCAAATTCTCAATCAAATATTAGAGGTCATGATAAAACCCCAAAACACGGCAATTATAAAAAAAGCACCATCTTTTATCAAATGCATCAACTTCATAGTTCAAAAAATCACTAATGGGAATCAATTTGTAAACAACAATGTTTCTTGTGCTATCTATGTAATTGCGCCAAAACCATGAAATAGAGGGGAGAGTTCCTCCTCCCCCTCCCCAAAAAAATGAAATCAATATATGCAAATGATTTGTAAACAACAATGTTTCTTCTGCTCTGTATGTAATTGCGCCAAAAAATAAATAGAGGGGAGAGCCGAACCAAGCTACGACATAAAAACCAAAAACCACAAGCATGACGCACGGGGCAAGAAATCACAAGATTGTCGCAACTCGCAAGGGATATGACACGAAAACCAGGAACAACAGAAAATCAAACCATATATCGCAGGGAGCAAGCGACAAATAACAAATCTCCAACCGAAGACTTAAATAGTGTAGGGCATGATAGAGATTACCAATGGTAGAGATTAGCAAATCGCAAGGACATGTGAACGATCATCAAGGAAAAAATTATGAGGACTTGAATAATATGAATTCAAGATAAAAAAGGGTGTCTTCCACATAATTAATAAATTTATAGGAGATATCTCCTATGTTGGCAGTAAAAGTCTTATGGTGCCAAACTTATCATTAAGTAATTTCTGCCAACCAACAGTTGATGGTGATTGAAACTTAAACAACAAAAGACATTTAATTTAGTCAAATTTTTAAAAATAAATAAAACGAAATGATTGATAAAACTAGTGTCCGACGGCAAATGGTTCACAAATGTAGATGTTAATTACTGGCGAGTGATAGGATATGGCCAATTGACAATGTCGGAAATCAAATGAAAGTAGGTTATTGGCTTGATCATTTTCAAATAAATAGGGGAAGCTGACTGATTGAGAAGATCAAAATCAGATGCCTAATGGACGTTGGACGTTAGCAAAACTTAATTAAAGTTTCAATGAGCGTCATATTTGTTTTCCATATTTCTTAATTTTATCAGACGATTTTATTAAAAAATGAAAGGTGGATTCCACTTGCTTATCTAATCAAATCTGACTCATTACTATGTTTCTTTCACCTGGAAAAATTTTGATGAGCACACGCCCCATAATGTGTCCCATAGATCTTCTCGTTGTATCATCCACAAACAAATCCCTTGACATTGCCTGCTCCTTCTGGTGTCATGAAGAGCAAAAATCAGACCCTTTAATTCACAAACCTCAAGTCATTGAGGCAGCCCCTGAATTAAAATAAAAAAATTGTAAGATAAAATAAGTTTAATGTGATAAAACTTAAAAGTACAAGCAATATGCATAGACACATCAACCAATAGAAGCATGCTAAAAACGAAAACAGTCACATAAGTAGAACTTTTCATAGACTACTTAACCCATCTGACTTGTTAAGTGAACTGACAAACATCAATTAAAGACTAGTATATCAAGTGAAATTAATCCATTGACACAATATTTTAGGCTTTTATCCTGTTAAAGCTGGTTCAAACTACAGCTCACAAAAGACAGTAGCACAGGGAGAAGCAACATCAACCTAATGGGTCCAACAACATTAACCCAAGCACATGTTGGTCCAACTTAGTCCAAGCGGACTGTTAAAATTGCCTAGCGCTAAGTTAATATCATCAAATGCAAACAAGCTCAAATTTTGTAAATAAAACTGGGTTAAACTAAAATATGCATGTGCATACAACCATTTGCAATTTTATAATGACAAAAATACCAGGCCTAATGATAAACTATATGGGTTCAAGAGATAAGAAAAATTATGTTATATTGCTTAAACAAAAAGCAAGATAATTACTACCATTTAATACAAATTCAAAGCATCAAAATTATTTATTATAAGTGATAAACTTGAGTGGTATCCTTTCCGGTTGACCGCATATGATTATAACTCTCTAAAATAAGGCTTGAATTAGTCAGATCACATCGCTTATGTATAATGTTCTCGACAAACAATATTCTCAACAGCTTGTTCAAAAAAAATATTGGACATCATCATCATGGGAGGTTGTATTATGAAAATTTGCAAAAATATATCTGATTTAACAAATTCACAAGCTTCTAATTGATAAACAAAAGCTAATTTACATTTGCTCCAATATAAATGAGGGTATCTGGTTCATTTGATCACAAATGGCAGCAGCAAAAAAGCTTTCCAGTTTGATTTTCCAAACATCAAAAACTACTACAGACATAATTTAGAAAAGAAAATTCCTATAGTTGTTGGCATCAATTCACGGGTGTCGACAAATTTTATACGTCGCACCGTGCATGAAATTGGCTGAAATTGACCCGATCACCAGCGAGCTCGTTCAAATGACCCCGGATGACAAAATATGACCCCGGATGAAAAAATAGACCGCGCCGATGCGTCCGGAACGTCAAATTTAGTCAAGAACGATGCCCATTTTGCTGTGAGGACATATTCGGGTTAAAATGCGGGAGAGATATATTATAATATTTTTTATTTTATTATTTTTTATTTTTTAAAAAAATGAAATAATATATATATATATATATATATTTATATTTAAACATATAAAATTATAAAAAAATGAGATATTTATCCTATATTTTTATATTTTTAGGATAACAACGCGTCTTCCCCAAGGATCGCGTCTTTCTCCCTCTCCAAAAGCTCTCATTCGCGACATCATTTGGCTAAGGGATTTTTTTGTTCGAAAACGGCTAACTCCTCCGGATTCGCGCGACAGTGGTCCGATCCTTCTCCTCCCTCGCGAACTCCCTCTTTCGCCCCTCCCCATTCGCGACAGAGAGGACCGCTCGGCCCTCTCTCTTCTGATCCCTTGCCGTTCGCCGCCGATCTCCCTCTCCCGGCTGCGAATCACAGCAGAGAAGGTCTCGCTCCTCTCCTCCAGTGCCGGTCATCGATCCTCTTTCTTCTTCTTCTTCTTCCATTTCTTCTTCTTCTTCTTCTTCCATTTCTTCTTCTCCTATTTCTTCTTCTTCTTCTTCTATTTCTTCTTATCTTATTTCATCATCTTCTTCTTCTATTTCTTCTTATCTTATTTCATCATCTTCTTCTTCTATTTCTTCTTATCTTATTTCATCATCTTCTTCTTCTATTTCTTCTTATCATATTTCTTCTTCTTCTTCTATTTCTTCTTCTTCTTCTTCTTTTTCTTTTTCTCGGCCAACCCCGCCAACCTCGACGGTCTTCCTTCATCTCGCCGGCTTCTGCCTTGCCGATGTCGTATTTTTCGCCGGATCAAAACGCACTCACCGTCGATAAATTAGCATCCATCACCTCGCCGGACAACGAACCTCAACATCTTTCGGGAGGGTACGAAGGACTCCCATTGTACCTGCAAGTTCACGCCGAACTTATAAAAGCTTCGTGCAAACTACGCGAAGGTATAACATTTCTTCCCCTTCACATTTTATTTTCTAGCCGGCCTTAGGTTGTAGGTGTGATAGGGGTGTGGGTTCGATCGCCCACACGGGGTGTGTGCGTTGGTGTAAGCCGGCTCGGCGGCACGCCTATGTGATGGATCAATTGTGTTCCTAGAGGTGACTTATAGGATAGGATCCCCTCGTGCAACTAATTTTCCTACGATAGCCGAGCGAATCATATTTAACTGTTAACCGTAGCACAAAAATCCTAGAAGTTGGAGCCCCCTTCGCTCCCCTTTGCTTTGGTAGTCCCCATCTTTTAGAAAGATCGAAAAGTAGATTTTTGCAAAATGAGAAAATGCGAGTCATTAGCTCATTTTGCAAAGCTCGGAGGCGTCGTGAAATCGGGAAGAGTATTATCACTAGCCCGTTTCATGATGAGAATGAAAACTTTCCCCTTTGAAGATCCAGGGAGAAGTTCCCCTACTTGTCTCACCAAAGCAGAGGCAGCAATTACCATTTTTTTATATATTGACCCTAGGTTCCTCGGTAAGGTCGTTAGCACGAGAATGACTCCCTATCACATGTTTATGTTTGTATGTTGCATTTTGCATGTCACGTCACTTCACTTCGCTCCGATTGGCCGCCCCGGCCCGACGAGCACCTCACTTCGCTCCGATTGGCCGCCCCGGCCCGACGAGCACCTCACTTAGCTTCGTTTGGTCGTCCCGACCCGACGAGCATTTTACTTTGCTCCGATCTGCCGCCCTGGCCAGACGAGCACCTCACTTCGCTTCGTTCGGCCGCCCCGGCCCGACGAGCACCTCACTTCGCTTCGTTTGGTCGTCCCGACCCAATGAGCATTTTACTTTGCTCCGATCGGTCGCCCTGGCCCAACGAGCACCTCACTTCGCTTCGTTCGGTCGTCCCGATCACTTCGCTTCGTTTGGTCGTCCTGGCCCGACGAGCACCTCACTTTGCTTCGTTCGGTCGCCCCAGCTCGACGAGCACCTCACTTCGCTCTGATCGGCCGCCCCGACCCGGCGAGCGCCTCACTTTGCTCCGTTTAGCCGCCCTGGCCCGACGAGCATTTCACGTCGTTCTGTCTAGCCGCCCCGGCCTGATGAGCATCTCACTTCACTTCATCCAGCCGTCCCGGCCCGACAAGCATTACACTTTACCTCATCCTGTCACCCTGGCCCGACGAGCATTCTACTTCACTTCGTCCGGCCGCCCTGACCCGGTGAACATTTCATTTCATTTCAATCGGCTCCCTTGATTCGGTTGATACAACACTTTGGTTTGATTGGATTACTCAACCCAGTCGACCAATTATTTGCACCACCATATTGTCTTGCATGTGTGTTTGCATTTTTGTATGTTGTAGCTTCTTCTGGGTCACTGCCTTGCCGTTATACCATCTTTTCGGGCCCTTGCCGCTACGGCATGCCTACCTTCGGGTCACTACCTTACCGCCATACCCTCTTTTCGGGCCCCTGCCGCTACGGCATGCCCATCTTCTTAGGGCTACTACCATCATGGTATGTCCACCTTTGTTTTATTGCCTTATTGGCATACCTTCTAGGGCCGCTGCCACCACGGCATGCCCATTCTTTTGGGGCTACTACCGCTACGGTATGTCCACTTCTACGAGTCACTGCCTTCATAACATACTCCTTATCACTATTTATATGTTTTGATTCGCCTGCATTAGCATTTGCATTTGCATGTTTGTATGGATAGCGAGTCAGACCCGTTAGGAGAGTGACTCTTGTGTTGGTCGCGATGCCTTAACGAGCATTGCTCGCTGGGTCAATCCCAATGAGCAATGCGAGTTGAGTCATCGGGACTAACATGAGTATGATTGTGCTAAGAATCCAATGAATCTAACTAGTGTCATTCCCTTTTGTGACACTCTTTAGATTTTTTTGGATCCTTAGGATGGGACCAGTAAAGTGACCCCACATTTAGATACTAGGTTGATGCACTTTTCGCTAGATGGTGTGCTAGGCTAGGATTTAGGGTGTTAGGTAGTCTTTTTGATGTTTGGCTATTGTTTACTGTTGGATTGGTTGCCCTAACCAGATATATTTCTTTTGCATTATGTTTGTGATGTGACAGCATGTTGCATATGTATGGTAGTGTGTTAGGGCGTTCTTCTGCAGGGAGCCATGTCTATTTTCATACACACACACAGGCACCGTTATGGGGGGGAGCAAATAATGATTTCTGACTCTTTTGCTTGCAAGTGCTATTAGCTCCCCCCACTTTTAAGACATGACTCACGATACGTTATGTGCATGTGAGCTTTCTCGCTGACATTTGTTTTTATGCCGGATTGGGTCTTTTTCTTTTCTTGATGTATTTTTTTTAGTCTAGGAGAGTCCTGTAGCAGAAATAAGATACGGGCACGGGTTATGAGACGTTAGCACAGGAACCACGTGGAGGGGACCAGGAGCAGAAGCTCGTGCCCCGTATCTCAATTCTGCATTTTATATTGATGTATAGAATTAGGACCGGACATGTATATGCGGAGTCCGGCCGCCCTTTTTCTTTTCTGGGATATGTTTCCGACCCAGCGGCACCGGCCTGTTATTATTTTGGTTTGACTTGCTTTATTTTATTTTTGCATCATGTTGCATTTTAATATTGCATGTTTACACTTGCATGTGTTTTTCTTATTTTCTTTCTGTGTTTTATCTGAGATTTCGTGATATAACACAGGCTCATTAAGGACCCTAAAATTTTAATTTTCTACAAAATCTTAAATAAAATCTTCAAGATAATTAAAATTTAGGATTAAAATATTCAGGATTTAAAAATTGCAACATTTACTTTCTTGCATATATTAATAGGACCTCCACAATACTTTCTAGATAAAGGCATTCATGTTTGCATGTCCCGAGGAGAAGTCCCCGTAATTTTCCAACCTGACTGACCCAGCATACCTTCATATATGTGGTTGTCTAGTGCGCCTAGGGTGTTAGAAGGCTCCCCGACCCAGACGGGGTGTAAGTTCTTTTGTTGGAGTTTTCACAGCTTTGTAGCTGAGCCTCCACTTTCTCTTCTTTCCGGAGGCATCCTTGTCATTTCGGCAAGTATAAGTCCCACCTCTTGGAGCTCCAATTTATAGTCATAAAATAGAGTTTCCTTCCTTTGACCTTAGGGCTACCGAGGTTCTCGTGGATGATGCAATTCACGGATTGCTGATCGGGGATCTCAGGTTGTGTTGGGTCGACTACCTTCACGACCAGGTAGAATTGGGTCCTAATGGTTTGGGATTACGGGTCGTGGTACCCCGACCTGACTACCTCTACCTCCTAGGATTACTTTTCCTTGCCTTTTGACTACCCCTGTTGAGCCATTTCTGCTCCTTTGACTTCGTTGGTGTCACTTTAACGGCCCGATGCCGATAAGCTGTCGCTTGTTTGGGATACGACGATTTGTCTTCTGCCCTTACGGTCCGAATGTGCTATGACGTATTGGGATACCCCTGTTGAAGTGATTTATGGTTATTTCGTAGGTTTCGTGAGTTGAGAAGCCGCTACCCATTTGGCGTGGGAGATTCACTTTCCGCCCGATGGTGCAGCGTGAGCTTCAAAGCATCGAGACTATTCCATATGAAATAATCACCTTTTGATAACCTATACCCCATGTTCATAATGATAAAGCGAAACTCTTTCCATCGGAGTCTTCTTGGGTATCCCCCGAGATGTAATTAACCAGTAAGAATACGTTCCTCTGGGAGACTTTTGACCCCAGAACAAAAATGTTCTTTTTGATTTTCTGGTTACGGGTAGTTTATATAAAGATTTCACTCATGGATGTTGTTTTTTTCGAGGTACTTCAATCCATTCTATTTGGATGTATACTCTCGACCCATCACATGAGGATTATCCTTATATAAGTCTTTCGTCTCTTTTCTTCTTTTTTTTTTGATTTGTGTGTCTATTTGTTAGTACGGTTGTTCACTATTCGATTCCTCTCCTCTTCGAGTCATTCATTTGGTTCGAGAGGGAGACTTACTCAAATAAGGAAATTATACAGCAACATACAAAAAGGCAAGCTGGCGACTCCGAGATCTAAAAAGAACCAAAAAAGAAAAATAGTAGTAAATTCACAACTGATTTTACAAACAGCTACAACTATAGCAAGAGGACCCCAAATAATGAAGAAATTATCAAATTAATGGCCAACAAACAAATGGAATATAGAAGAAGAGGCCGTAATTGTTATATTATGGGATGCGATTCAATTTGAATGATTCAAATAGGCTAGCATGACATAATAAGGACTAACTTTTTTATTTTGTCTTTGCTTATCGTACCAAAACTAATTAGTTCTATCCAACCAACAAATTCTTACTGAAACCTTCGTACTATACTGCTGTTTTGGCAAAAGAAACTTCCTAAATCTTTGCCGTTCATCACACTCATTGTACCTAATCAGCTTCTATGGCTTGCTTCATTACATTGCTACGGCTTTTCATATACCAATTAATGCACTACTAAATCCTACAGCAGCTTGCCTCTTCTTTTTCCTCTCTATATTATATGCTGGTACAGTAATTAGACAGCATGTTATCATGGTATCAGAGCACCAGCTTAACAGCAATCTTACCCCATCCTTTTCTTCTCAACGTCAATGATGCTCGAAATTCTGACTGCCAACATCAAATCATTGGCAAATACAGCCCTTACAGCTGATAACTATCCTATTTGGAGTTAACAAATCCATGAACTCTTTAAATCCAAATGATTTGATAACTTCTAGATGACACATTTTCCTGTGCTCAGCAATACATTAATGACAGTAAACAATCAAACATCTATTAATCGCAATTGCACTCTATGGAAACTTATAGATCAAAACCTAAAAACATCAAAACTCTACACAGGATGGTTGCAATAGCTATCCCTCCCTCTCAATTCTAATGGTCAACATCAAATCATTGGCAAATAAAGCCCTTACAGCTGTTAACTATTACATTTGGAGGTCACAAATCCATAAGCTCTTTACAGTTAATGGATTTGATAACTTTCTAGATGACACCTTTCCTTGTACTAAGCAATACATTCATGACACTAACAATAAAACATCTATTAATCCCAATTACACTCTTTGGAAAGTTATAGATCAAAACCTATCAATAGCCATCTACTCCACCATATCTCAATCCATTTTATCTCATGTCCTCCCATTAGAATTTCATGCTGAAATCTAGAATTACATCACATTACCATGAAAAATAATACCATGAACCAATAACTTAATGAAATCATAGTCATTGTGGATCAATTAGCTACTGCAGGCTGCAAAATTTATATGGAATATATAGTTCTATACATGTAAATGGACTTCCACCCGCTTATCAGTCTTTCAAGACTGCAGCTCAAACCAGACTTGAGCCAATTCATCTTGATGATTTATACTCTCTTCTATGCAGTGAGGAGATCAATATTCAAGCTAAACCGCTAATTGCAATTCTTCCCACCATTAGCAATTGTTTCCAACGAAGAAAAAGAACACTCCTCTACCTACAGTGGCCGCAATAAACTGTCTGCACATCCCAGGCCGCAACAAACCGTCTGCACATCCCAGGCAGTCTTCCAATAGCAACAACAACACTACCAACCTTTTGAAGCCATGAATTGTTCGTCAAATTTTTGAAGAACAGGTCACTTGGCAATAGTCTGATGGCATTGCACCAACCTGTCCTACTTGCCACCAGTGTCCGTTCTGTTCTAGGGTATAGGGGCAGCTGAGTTGATGTAGAATGCCATAAGATTGCAAATAAGTTTTCAAATTGTTGGAGATATATTCTACTTCATCTAGGCACAGGATTTCAATGATGGTGTGAAATTGGGTTTGAACCATTTTGTGAAACTAAATGAATTTATGAATCGCTTAAGCTTTAATAATCATTGGAAAAAGCCAACCGAATCTAAAATAAACTATGAAGACAACATAGTATTTAAATCCATGAAGAGAAGAATTTGAAGCCCATATATCCAAATTAACTAAGGAAAACTTCTGTTTAGCTCTGGACACAGAAAAAGAAAAATAGTTTATGGCTTTTGGAAGCCCTACATGAGTTACAAAAGATGCGGGATTCTGAAATTTTAAGGGACTTTTTTGCTTGGAGATGGTGGAGAATATGGAGTGTAGATGACCCAGCATTTAATGCCAAAGTGTTCATTGGAATATTGAGTGTATGTAATGCTCGGGAAGGAGATGATCCAGCTTCATTGCTTCCCTTATTTAAAAACTTCATATCAGGTTCAACATGAAGAACCTCGCCGATCTCCACCTTCCTTAGCATTACCTTTCAAGATACCAAGAAGAGATACTTCCACCATCAAATCTAATACGATACTGAACTGCTCAATACAGCAGGCATGCTAAAATGCAAGCCTATTTACACACCAATCTCTTCCAAGCAGCCCATAGACTTCTTCTCAACAAATATTTTCAGATCCTATCCTCTATCGTCCCTTGGTTGGCCCCTACAATACCTGACGTTCACAAGGCACGACATTACATTTGTTGCCAACCAAGTCTACCGACATATGCAAACACCACTCAACCAGAACATCAAGCTCATCAAACGGCGTTGTGATATTATAAAGGAACATTGCACAATAGTTTTCCTATCAGTAAAGGTGATCTCTCTCATGGCATACTATAACTTGGATTGAATTGTTGACCACACCAACTGCAGATCTACCATTGGATTCTGTATTTTTCTTGGCCCCACACCAGTTCTATGGAAAGTTCACAAACAGAAAATGGTGGCAAGATTGCCAACAGACGTGAAACCAAGCAATTGCTGCAACTACAATTGAACTGCTTTGGCTGATACGTCTCCTTCTGGATTTTGAGATCAGCATGGATAGACCAACACCACTAGTCTGTGACAATGCATCTGTTATCGCTATTGCCAACAATCCAATATTTCGGAGCTCAAACTAAACACATTCAAATCAATTTTCACTCTATCGGGGCAATACATAGCCTTCAAAAATCTTATGATTTCCAAACTTGCCATTTAGGACGAAACAGCAAATATTCTCACTGACTGTTTATCAACTTCCAGGTTTTAAAATTTATGGACCAAACTCATGATTCAACTCAAGGAATCCTCAGTTTTATGTACAACTGAATATCTCCCCATTCTCACCATACATATGAATCTCAACAACCTGCTATCCTTTGTATACAGTTGTTATGGCATTAACAACCTTCCTATATCTCTGTCGTTCATCACTCTCAGTGAGTCTAATGTATTACATTGTTGCTGCTTTTCATATACCAATTATTGAACTACTAAATCCTACAGCAGCTTACCTCTTCTTTCTCCTTTCTATATCCTTTGCTAGTACAGTAATTTGACTGCGGGTATCAGGTTTATTATCAATATTTGTATCACGGTTCATACAATGTGGATATTTTAGTCAGTTGTAGATGGATGCTATTCAATAAATTGAAGAATTAGAATTTTGACACTTACCTGTTGTTTTGCCGGAAATGCATCTAGCGTTTCCATAAACCCAGCCAGGATCTTGTTCTAAAAATACAAACACCAAACCCAGTCTTGGAAACCAAACTTCACAGATTTCACAATACAACCTAAATAGAATGTCTGCTGCACTCAAAGAAAAAAAGAATTATGTAAATAGAATCAGCAGAATTAATGCAAGTCATCTTTTTTTACAAAAGATATGAAAATCATTCTCATTAGATGCATTGAATTAAATATCTTTACCACAAAAATGTAAGAAATAAGACCCGAGAAGTATTTCCAACAAAAATAAGAAAATAAAAAGATGGTAATTTGTAATCAGTATGACAGCTTGAATGGCATGTATAAGGTAAAAATAATAATAAGAAGATAACCTAATATTTTAAATCTAAGAAAACAAAAATGATTTATACTCCAAATAGGTTGACAATAACCTTTATAACTGCTGCCTAAAATGTACTAAGCCCACCATCCTAAAGAGATCTAAAGCGTCGGATTGTTTTTAAATTAAAGAATTCAAAGAAAAATTAAAAAAAATGTTGTTTTTTAAAGGATGTTAAACAATAGAATACAAGAGGAATTACCAGGATGAAGATCAACAAACAATGGGACCTTAGATGCACAAGTTCATATTTTGCCCTTTCTTGTTGCAAAATTCTCATCCAAAGCTTTACGAGGATCAAACGGAAGATCTAGCTAACCGTTCAGATAATCTCTTCAGTTGCTCTTTTGAAATCCTTGGATTGATCTGTTGAAGGTTCTGAACAAAAGCACTAGCCTCATCTCTCCTCCCTTGCTTATAGTAACCATCTACTATTGAGTTATATGTGTTCTCATTCGGCCTGCATCCATGCTTTATCATGTAGACAACCACATCAATTGCTTCCACAAACATTGAATTGGCCACATAACAAGCAACAAAAATATTATAAGTAACAATATCGGGCTTAAGTCCTGAAGCCTGAAGATCAGAGAATATCCTGGAGGCTTCGTTCATCCGGCCATGCTTTCCATAAGCATAAATGACAGTGTTGTAGGAATATAGATCAGGCCGCCCGCATTTTTCCTTGATCTCCCTAAGAGTACCATCAGCCCTCTCCAAATCTCCCAACCTGCTATACATATTAATCAAGCTATTGTATGTGGTCAGAGTGCGAGTAAAACCACTCTCTTTCATAAATTTAAGGATCTCATTAACCTTTGAAACCATCTGCCTCCTACCATAGATGGATACCATTGCATTCAAAATATTTATATCAAGTGAGCACCCTCTCTTCCTCAACTCCAAGAAAGCCCGCTCTGTCTCTGGAAAAAGATTGTTCTTGCTATTTACCAAAACAAGAGTTTTGAAAAGAATGTTTCGTGGTTCAATAACCCTACCATATATATCTCCTTCAACGGATTTCATCCTATCAAGCTCCTTTGCGTTGGAATATGCATGCAACAAAGAGCAAAAAGTCAGTTCATTTGGCTTACAGTTGAGAGCTTTCATCTCAGCAAGTATCTTCTCCGCTTGTTGCCATAGTTTTCCACGAGCCAATGCAGCCATTACAGCATTATAAGTGGATAGATCTGGCCCAATTCCAGAAGTAAGCATGTTCTCGTAGATCTCCATAGCCTGTTTAAATAATCCACATCGACTATAAGCACTAATCAAGGTATTATAGGTCTCCCTTCCCGGCAAAAACCCAGCTTTCCTCATCTCTTTGAAAACACCAGAAACTTCCGTGTCCATCCCATTCTGACCAAAAATTGCTAACAGAGAATTCCAAGTGACAACATCTGGTGTAAAGCCGTTTGATCTGAGCATTCCAAAAACACTCATCATGTCTGCAAACTTACCCCGATTTCCATGCATCTTGATCAGAGCATTGTAGGTACAAAGATTTGGTCTGCATCCTTTACTCTCCATCTCCTCAAAAAGTTTCATGGTAAGCTCGTCCTTGCCAGCCTTCTCAAAACCAGATATCAAAGTAGTGTAAGTAATGACATCAGGCTCTATCCCCTTAGCTTCCATTTGTACCTTGAGCTCCATTGCTTTCTCCAAAATCCCATCTTTTGCATAGGCTGAGATCAAAGAGTTGTATGTAACTATTGTAGGAGGAAAACCATTCGCATCCATCTCTGCAAGCACCTCCATAGCCTCTTCATGCTTCCTAGACTTTCCATACACATCCAGAAGCACATTGTAAGTGACTTTATCAGGTCCTAATCCCAATGATTTCATCTCCTTAAATAACTCAACGGCTTCTTCATGCAGAGATCCTCGGCGGCAGCAGCTGATGAGGGTATTGTAAGTGTACCGATCAGGAGCTATCCCATCCCTCTTCATGACTTGAACAAGGGAGACGATTTTGTGCCAGGGCATGAAGAGCTTGCCATAGATGTTCAGCACAATGTTATAGGTTACCAGCGTTGGCTTAATACCCTCCTCCACCATTCGCCGGAACACGGAAACAGCGTCGAGATAACGCTCGTTTCGGGCGTAGGCGGTGATTAGGGAAGTGTAGGCGTAAACGTCGACCGGGCAATGCTGACTGCGGAAATCATCGAGGAGGGTAGCAGCGACAGAGAGCTCTCCATGGCGGCCCATGATGCCGATCACTACAGGGATGATAGCGGAAGATGAGAATAATGCGTCTCCGTGGGCGCGCCGAGCGCTGTCGAAAACGGCGAGTGCAGTGGTGGGGCGCTTGTGGAAGTCGAGGGCCTCAATGATGCCGAGAAGATCGGTGAGAAGGGAGTCTGGATCGTTACAAGCGGGGTTGAGGAGCGGGCTAAGGATGGCGTCGAGGTCGGGGGAGGGGAGATTTAGGAGTGACCGGAGGATATGGTGGCCGCGGAGGGAGACGCGGGGGTCGACGGACCAGGGTTTGCCGCGGTTGGGGTCGTGGTGACGGCCAAGGAGGGGTTTGCGGGAAGTGCGGGGAGAGCGGCGGGATTGAGTAGCGGACGGGGAAGAGGAGGATGAATGGCGGAGGAGGTCTTCGAGAACAGGGGAGGGGGAGAGGGTAGAGATGGGGTTGAGCTTTAGAGAATCGAGGGAGAATGGCCGGGGGGCAGGAGGGGAAGGGGGGCGGAGGGGCAGTGGAAGGCAAGAGATGAGCTTGGCATGGCAGAAGCTCGAAGTGAAGGGTTTCGGCTTGGCCTCCGGGGTTTAAGGATGGGGTAGAAAGTGGGTGGGAGGGAGGACACCTAATCGGGGCATCTCCCTCCAACTGTCGAAATGAGCTCCATGGATTTGCTCAGAAAACGGACTAGTCCCAAAAAGCATGAGATACATGAGAGGCATATACATAAACGACATTGTGCATATATATAGTTTATACAAAGTAGTTAAATTATTAATATCATATAAAAAATAATATTATTATTACTTTTTTAAAGTGACATACACATTTTTATACATAGATTTAAAATATCAAAATGTCATTTATGTAAATATGAATGTTTAGGTGTGAGATGTAAATACATTAAATTTGTGTGCTAGATATGTAAATTTCTTTTTTTAACATTTAAAAGATGAAGTACACATTTTTATGCATAAGTTTAGTGTTATAAATATAGAAAACAAAGTTGGTGATAGACATGTAAATAAATAGGAATTGGGAGGTATGTATGTAACCATTTTTTATGATAGCTTAATTTTTTTATTCATTATTGTATTGAGTCAAATATTTAAAGGAGATAGAATATATGTATATATTATTTTATATTATTAATACATATATATAATATATATATATAAAGATAGAGAGATAGACAGATAGATAAATAGATAGATAGATGGATGGATAAATATTAACAGGATGAACATTTGAAATAACATATTGTGATCTCCATTTTTGATTTCTACCGATGTGTTAAGCAATTAACTAATTTATTTTTTATAGTTAAGTTATTTCATGAATATCTAATCTTAACATAATAATATGTTGCTCCTTCATTCTAGTCCCAATAATTGAAGTACAAATTTGTCTCTCATGAGGTGGTTGTTTGAGGAGCTTTGGCTCTCACAATTAAAAAACATAAATAAATAATCTAAAAATAAGTTTTTTATATGATAGCATTGTAATTTTATAATAATTTTGTTTAGTATTTTTTCAATATCTTTGTTTAGTGTATTTTATTTTTTGGATCTTGGGCTCCTTTGAGTAATCTTCTCTCCATTTTTGATAGAGAGTTAGTTCTTCTGCTAAGATTCTTAACTTCTTGAACGGGATACTATCCATTGGAAAAAAATGGAAGGTAGAGAAGAGGTAGGTCAAGCAAGGAATAAACAACAATATGTGTATTCTAAAGGTAACAATCATGCCAGCAAATCCTATTATACTCACGAAGCACCTTTTATAAGGATAAGAAGTTAATGTGTCATTAACGACCATGTTATTACTATTTTTAAAATTCATATAACTTTCTCTTAAGAAAATATTGACATCCTTGATATGCACTTAATACTCACACATGGGTCTCATTTCAAATCACATGGTGGATATTTCATGCCAAAAAAAAATTACAATAATGGTGCTAATCAAGGCTATCAGTGCAAGGAAGTCTAAACCTTATTCTTTCAATATATTACTTATCTACTATAAGTATAGCAATTTTCTAGAAACAATTCACATCATTAGAATACCTCATAACATACACATCATACTCGCACAATAAAAAAAAAATTGTTGAGGTCTTTCCTTCAACCAACCAAATAGTCGAAGGCTTGGGATGAACAACACCCTTGTGACATACAACTTGCCCATAATGAAGAATGGAGCTACTAACTTAGGGATTGAAAATCATATGGTCTCTACCTAAGAAGTTTAAGTGACTACTTCTTGTAGGAGAGCAACAACCTCAGGCAAATGATAGTTTGAACTCTATACAAAGTTCAGTTGACTACTATCAACATGATAGATACAAGCCAAACGTGAAGGATAATCCAAACCCCATGAAAATGGTTGTAAGCCTATTCATATTGGGATAAGTTGTAAGTATAGCAAGTATAAACCCTTTGGCCATCAAAAATAAAATTTTAAAATACCACTGTACAAGCATAAAACTTGTCATTCATCATAATAAAATCTTCGTAAAGGCCTAAAGTGTCACACAGGTTCCTCCTCCAATAAGGTTGGAGTCCCTCGGGAAAAAAGAGGAGACTTAATATATTTTTTTTGTCTATACATGTGTCTTTTCGCTTAAATACGAGATTAAGATTCTCATTCTATTGTTATTTTTATGTATAGTATTAAAAGATACGAGAATAAGAAGACTAAATTTATCTCAATAAATAATCATCATGGGCCAGAAAGGACATTAGCAAGCCTAATGGGTATGGGACATTTGTTCTCTCCCTACTAGACATCGATCATGCACCCTTTCTTTTGAGAATACATCCATCAAGCATCACTTACCAAATTGACTTGTCAGATTAGCAAAGTCAATGACCAAATGTCGGGTAGGTTTGTCATATTGATATGTCGAGTTGATTAGTCAAATGGCTTCTATCGTGTGTCCGCTCCCAAATACTATCAACGACTAGAGAGGATGTGCATATTCAACTGTGCCTGAAAATAAACTGTCCATCTTAATGTCATATCAACCTGTAACCAACTTACTACGAAGACAAACATCATACTATACTAAAATCATTCAATATTCCTTTCTTGTAACATATCAAGAAAAAGAAATCATATCAAGCCCAATAAATGGAAATGATCTCTTGCCTTTAAAAGGAGCTAGACCATAAACTTTCTCAAGCTCTCTACCCCATATTTACAAAGCAACCATGTATTCCATTCCCTCATACCACTCCATGTATAAGTCTTATTTAATTGTATGAGCCCACAGACAAATCAAAATTCAACAATACCTCGATTCATTCAAGTTAACTATTCTTCTTTATATTTGCCTAAAGTCATAAAGAGTCGAGTATTATAGAAATTTTGATGGATTTAATTCATCAAGTTTTTCTTTGAATCACACAAAATTTGATATGTCTCAACATTATTTTGAAGGAAATTTCAATATTTTTTGAATAAACAAGTTCATTAGTGATCTTGAATGGCTCTCAGGCCAAAAGGTTTGAGCTTTGGACTAGTCAAACTCACGTGCCAAACATCCCATGTGTTTGAAAAATCATATCATTTTGATTGCATTGGACACATTTTGTCAAATTAGATCATCTCAAATTTTAATTTGTTATTATTCAAATTTATATGGCTTCTTAACTAATATTTTAAATTCAAAATTACTTTTTATATCTCTCTCACATAATTTTTTATATCCCATCAAAAATAATATTATTATTATATCAAAATATTATATAAAAAAATATATATATATATATATATATATATATATATATATTTATGCATAAATAAAATGGTATATATAAGAAAATTAAAATTAAAGTATAAGGTTTGTAGGAGAATTAATTGGTAAGCATGTAAATCTTTATAAAATTCAATGAAACTATTTTAAACTTATCCTAACGAAGGACAAATCCATAAAATAATTCAATTTTCATGAAAACCCATTTTCCTTCCCTCTAATGAAGCTATTTTTATCCTATCCTGAATAGGGCTGTCAAAACGGTTCGTTGTTCGTGAACAGCTCGTGTTCGACTAGTTAAGAAACTCGTGTTCGGCTCGTTCGCTAAGTTAACGAGCCGAACACGAAAAACACGAACAAATATTTGTTAATTCGTGTTCGGCTCGATATTTTAAAAAAAATTAATTGATTACAAGACTACAGAGATTTATAATCAATTAAAAATTTTAATGAAGAAAAAAAAATAAATTAGATTCACATGTTATTTTAAATCTTGGATTAATCTTTAATATCTTATTACTACGTGTTCATAGTTGTCAAAATGACACTTTATTCATAAACAACTCGTATTCGGTTCGCTAAGTAAATGAGCTGAACAAGAACACTCTTGAACTCTCTTTCTAAGCTCGAAATATAAACGAGTCGAATAAGAACTAAGCCTGGGCTCACTAATGTTCAGCTCATTTACACCTCTAATCCTGAAAAGATGGGCAGATTCGCAAATTAATTCAATTTTCATATAAAAGATTTAAAAAAGATTTTTTCTTTTCCCACCTCAAAGACTGCACAGCCATCATTAAATTACAATAAATGGGGCCCACCTGTACCCGTTAACAGAGAAAAGCTAACGTCATGAACGAATCACGACCGCCCAATTTGACCACCTCTTTCCAATGGCGCACGCTGGCCGGCTTTTCATTGTTATTTTTTTTTTTATTTTTGCATTTTTTTCATTTTAGGTTCTAAATTTAAAATAAGCGCTGAAAGAACTGAAAAAAAAAAGAATAATTACATAAAGCCCGTCATAAAGATTGATATTTACAAATTAAACATCCAAATAGATTTTTTTAGCCACCCAATATATTGGCTTCAAATCATTAAAAATTTAATAAAAAAATAAATATAGATTAGAGTTTTATAATGAATTTTAATATTTGTGCAAGAATTTGAAAAATAAATGAAAAAGTGTAGTTGATTTGTGATAAGTCAATAAATTTCCAGCATCTTTGACAAATCTTAAGGCATTGACATGAATCTTGATGCATATTTTTGAGCAAGAAATATTAAAACTACGATTAAAAATCATCAAGAGCTATAATTTCATCAAACTTATGGTCAAAATGACCAGTTCAACGAGACAGACTCAATGATACCAAAATTGCTCCAATCCGAGTCAAATCTAAAAGATAGATGTTTTCGTATACGGGTGAAATTATTTTTAAGTAATGATTGAACTTTCAAAGTTAGATATGTAAATGCATAGGAAGTGGCATGCATGTAAATCTTTCTTAGAGACCCAATTTGGAAACACATTCATGACTCAATCTATAATTTTTAAATTTAATTGTCACTTGTCACGATGACTCACAATTATAAACTAAGGCGATGACATAATTGTAATTTTATCACCTATTGTTAAAAAAGGAAGGAAGGTTTCTTATTGTTGGACCGTTTCACATGAGAATGACCCATTAGTTATATAATGAGGATATATGTAGAGAGGGTTTCAAGAGAAGAAAGAAAAAAGTTGGTTAGAGAAAGAAGGGGATGGGCTTCAAGAAA